TTATGAGGCTCTTCTAGTTTACCCTGCTCTGCAGTTTCAGCAGCATGATATATTTCTGTGATAGATCTATATGAGGATATTCCAGAATCCTCAGGACGACCAGCCTCCTCTTCGAGCGACGTCACCTTTAGGCTGCTCGCCCTGTTCATTGGCGATCCAGCAATAAGGCAGTGACGCCATTCCGAGTAGCTCTTCGGCAGCATCTGCTATAAAAGTTATACTATATTCAACTCATCACTTCGCAAAGGTGATTTCCTGTTCACCTGCCCACTGGTCTCAGCGCCAATGTCCACTCCGCGTTCGCTAAATAAGTCCGGCTCGTTAAACTCCAAACGAGACGCATACTGGCTACGCTGGCTGTTGCGTTGAGAATGAGCTCGCTGCACGTATTCTTCCAGATTCGACCTACAGTAAAAAAAGTAACGTTCTTGGAGCCAAGAAACTTTCTGCCGCAGGCTGTAGTACTGTTTTTTCAGCTCAATCCTCAATGCACCTTAAGTTCATCCCGTTGTTGTTGGTCTTCTCCGACGTGCTCAAATAGTCCGCGCGACTGGAACTCGCATTTCGGCTTGGAGCATCAGTTTCAAATTGCTTTCTTCCATAAAATCCTGATGCGGCATAGTGCGATGCATTCTTAAACAAAAAAAATTCAGATGCAGACAAGATCGGGTATGTGCGCACGTACACTGCTATCCCTAGATGCTCCATACATGTCTCGCACAGAAGGCGTGACGTCCTCTCTGTAAATAGTGCTTCGCATTACTTTGAGATAATCCACACCGCCACTACCTGTCAATGTTTCTACCAGAATTTTTCTTGAATATTCCACGCGGCTTGGCAGATGGCGCAGAAGAAGCGCTGCGTGTTGCCTGTGCAGTAGATGAAGTTTCTTGTGAGTCAGAAGGAGAAATGGCAGCAGAATTGGAATGTCCCCTAGGATAGATTATGTTTACACGTTGCTGCGCAACTTTTGTGCTTTTCCGTACTCTGGATAATCAACTCGATCACCCCGGCCACCATCTCTGCCACCCCACCATAGATGATGAGCATTATTCTTCGGTGCATTGGGGCCTGGAAGAAAAATCACGATGAAATAGTTCCGCCTTTGATCAGCTCTAGGTCCAAGTAGAGAAGCAGAAAAGAAGACCTAATCAAATTTAGGCTAACGTACAGTTTGAGTACACCTATTTGTGAGATATTGTGATAGTGCCCAAACAAAATACCTTTCTATTAGATTACAATACTTTGCTTCTATATTACCAGACTATGTGCCACTAAAAAGAACGGCTGACCTCCAGGGATACCGACAAGCAGGCGTGATCGATTCTGCTTCGCCTCATGCCTCCTCTTCAAACACACATACAGACAACAGAGAATGCACAGAGCGAGTAGCACAGCTCCAAGAAGTAATGGTAACAACCAGACAGAAAGATTGCCAGCACGGCTCCGTTGCTGCGCTCCAGTATTGTTCCTGGAGTCATGTGAAGTATTATTTT